GAACTAGAACCACATTTTAAAATACCATAGGCCCTGCCTTTTTATAAAAGTTTGGTAGTTTCTCACAGATAAATGATCTTGCTTGTTTAATGACTTTGGTTAATTTTCAAAGTTGTGAGGTGGTGAATTTTAGTTGCTTTATCATTTTTTTCCAATTGTTTATATGGGAGAACAAGCTCATCAAATTCCTCACAGCATCATTTCAGAAGTCCTTCCTTTATTAAGCACTTATATCTTCTCTGGGCTAAGTACCTCTAGTTGCCTATAAGCTTTAACACCATAAGAATGAAAGTTCAATTTGTTTGGTCACAATTGTATCATCAGCAACTAGCATGGTCTCTTTCCTTCTATGTGAAGGAAACAAAATCTCAAACAGAGATTTAGGTAGGAAGGTAGGTAGATGTATAGATTGGTAGAGGGAGGGAAAGAGAGAGAGAGGAGAGAGAGAGAGAAGAAAAAAGAAAGAGGGAGAGAGAAAGAAAGAGAAGGAAGGAAGGAAGAGAAAGAGAGAAAGAAAGAAAGAGAGAAACAGAAAGAAAGAAAAAAGAGAAGGAAAGAGAAAGAAAGGAAGGAAGGAAGAAAGGAAGGAAGGAAGGAAGAAAGAACATGTCAGTATACATACAGACATCCCCAGTATAATTTACATAACAATATACAAGAAACTAAGTAGCGATTACATCTGGAAAATAGCAAGCTAGTGGAGGAAAATACATTTGCTTTACATTTTTGTTTTTCTACTGCTTTAACTTTTAGAGAAACATAAATTATATCAATATAGACAGATTGTTAATTGGAGGAGTAGGATTAAATTATCCTCGAAAAATATTTCCAGGCCTTTTACTCTCATGATTATTCTCTGTACAATTTCTTTTTTATTAGTGTTTCTATACAAATATGGCTTTCACAATTCAAGAAAAATAGAAGATCAGACTAACACACCAAGTATAATGTGATGAGTTTTCACTACTCAGGATGTAATCATTTTATAAATGTTCTTTATGGTAGCATTTGCTTAAATAGCTTTTACTTCTCCTGGAGCATCAAAGTCACATTATCAAAAAGTTATTCATATGCAGGAAAAACAAGAATGTTTAGTTCAAATACTTTATTTTACAATTAAACAAGTATGAAGACCTCCACATTTAAAATATTTACCTAAAGACATATTAACAGATCAAGTTGTCCATCTTAGCTTGTCTGAATCATGAAGTTCTTTGGGAATATTAGTAACTAAACATCTGAAAGGGTCCCAAGAGATGTGCTCCATAGAAAGAGTTATATTTTGTGGTGCCAGTGAAATGTATAAAGAGTTCAGAACAGAAGGGAGTGAGTTTTACGTAGACATTAATATTCTAGGGAGACGAAATATGTTGAACTCCAATGTATGCTTTTCTAGAACAGCAGTTATTAAAGTATGGTCTCAGTAGTCCCCAAATCATTGTAGGATGTCTATGATGAAAATTGTTTTTGTAAGAATATTGAATTTTGTTGCTGTTTGCTCTCATACCCTCTACAAGAGTAATGTGGACTTTTCCAAGGCTATCTGCTGCGCTATCATGACAGTGTGAATGCAGAAGCAGATGTGAGGAACCAAATGTCTTCTAAGTCAGCTATTTAAGGGATTTGCAAATAATATCACTCTTCTCACACATTTTTGGTAAAGAAATTATATTTTTAATAACTATATATAATATAGCGGGCTTATTTAGTATTTTATGTTTTTTCAGTTTTAATTTATAAAATTATTAATACAGATAAAATTTCTTAACTGTAAAAAGGATCATGAAACCAAATGTATTGAGAGCCACAGCACTAGATTAGCTAGCTAAAAAAAAAATGAATGAAAAGATATTGTGATTATTGCTAGAACTGAATTACTTGAATCTTTTATCAAATATGAAAGAGAGAAATGTGACATAATCTCAAATTGTGAAATAGAACAAAACCAAGTAATCCACAACAAAAGATCAAAACTGTATTAATAAAAATGAGACTAAAATCTGAAACACTAACTCACAAAACACTTCACTTTTCTAACTTGTATATCACTAAAAATATTATAATAAGTACTTTGGATAAAGAATAAGAACCAACAATATTAAAAAGAAAACATTTTCAAAATTAATATTTACACACCTTATTTTCCTTTTAAGAAAGTTTTTGTTTATTTTTAGGTTATCCAGCATAGAAAAATTTGAAAGATCACAGAAAATAAAATTACATCTGCTCATAAATTGCCAAAAATCATAATATATATGAGGTATCTTCTTGGTTAACTAAGGAAATTAAAACCTAAATAATGAGAGAGACCATATGAGGATAATTTTTACTCAGATCTAAAATGTGAATTTTTTTGTTTATAAACAACAACAAAAAAGTCAGACGGCTACATTTACTCCAACGGGTTTAAAAATAAAAGACAATGCTGACTTTGTATAGAGCCTTTATAATCAGTCCCATTCTGGGAATCCTGATTGTCTTAGTAGACTTAGGAGAAGGTTTCAGTGCCTTTTTATTTGGGAAGTAATTCTTTTCTTGGCACAGAGGTAAATGCATTCAAATAATTACCTGAATGGTGATTATTAATCAATGCAATTTTTACCAAGAAAGGATAACCCATGAGTGCAGAACCACACTGAGATGTTTAAAAAATGCTTTGGATTATTAAACTGTGTTAAAGTTTGGGGTTATAATCTTGTCACCATCAGTGATTCTTAAACTGTAATGTATAGAAGCCCACGTGGATCTTCCTAAAAACACGGTTTCAAAGGCATGTCACCTTTAGCAGAGTCTAATTATATGTATCTTGAGATGGAAGCCCAGGAATCTACATTTTAACAGTATCTAAAGTGATTCTGATAAATGTGAGAGAAATTACACACTTTAAGAAAGGGTTCCAATACAATCTAAGTAAAGCTCTTCTAGGGTTTTAAAAGTTTCCATTTAAATTTTGATTTATTAATCTAACTGAATTTATTAAAGTCATTTAAATTTAAATGCAATCATTTTAAGAGACTTGGAATAAGGTACATAATGTGCAGTTTAAAAGTCATTTCAAAACATTAATCATTATATAGTTGCCCAGCTTTATGAATATCCACAATGTACACAAATGTGGAGATAAAAGTAATTTAAACACATTGGTCATCATAAAATTTTTATCACTTTGAAAAATAATTACATTAATGGCTCCAGGTTAAAGATTTTTTCAAAGTTTTATTAAATTAACATCTTGTCTCTAAGGATTCGAAATGGCATATATGTTCTTTTAGTAGCTTTATTAGTTCTATCTTTAGGTGGTTTTTTGTATTGCATATGTGAATAAAATATTTAATGTATTTTTTATGGTCATACTGTCTATGAAGATACACAAAAGGAAACGTGTATTAGGTAACTTTATGTCATGAAGAATGACATAAAGTTTCAGTAGACTCTATTAGAATATTATATGGCATGAATGCCTAATACAATATTAATAATTCTTTAGCATACTTTGAAGTATTTCTTTTTGGAGCAGTAATTAATTTTTCCTTCAAACATTCATTTTTTAAACAAAAATCTCATAATTTATATAGTTGAGACATTGGCTACTAAGCTGATTATTTTGACTGTAGTTTGTATCAAGTTAGTATACTTACCCAACATTTTATTGAATACCTACTATGTGCAAGATGTTGGCTATGCACAGAGATGCTATTCTTACGTATTTCAGAATCTAACCTACATGCATACATCAAACCATATAGAAGACTGAATACAGTGTTTTAATGGAGGCATAAATATGATGGGAATAGGGGAATTAAAATAATTGTGTCTGGGACAAGGTATGGAGAGAAGGGTTGGAAAGCTTTGTAGAAGATTACACAAAGAAAAGTTAAGTGACTTGGACTTTGAAGACTGGGATTTCAATCAGCTGAAAAATATGAAGAACAGAGAAAATAACAGGAGCAAAAGCATGGAGTCTTGAAATTGTGTCCTGTGTTTCAAGGGATATGTGATACATAAGTGACATGGAAGCAGAAGATCAGACTACCCATGCAGTCAAGCTCTGATTCTGAATAAGCATTAAAAATATGTTTTGGAGTTATAATGAGGCTCTAGAAAATCTGAAGCCATAAAATAGTTTTAAATGCAAACCTGGTATGGTGTGACAATCTAAATTACAGAAAGAAATTCTGCAAACATATTGAGTTTATTTGGGAATATGCAGGTGATTTGCAAATCCAGGATATGTGGGCTTTGGGGACCATAGGCATGGCTAAAGAAGTTGAGACAAAGAGAAGCTTTTAAAGGCAAAAGGGAAAAGTATACATATTTTGTTTTGAAACAAAGCAAACATTGGTTATAGAGGCTTCTTGCAGGAATTGACGCCATTCATTAGTGGAGACAGAGTGTCAGGTAATTGCTCTTGTACATTCAGGTAACTGCAGTTTTAAAAATCACTGCCAAAGTTCTTGTTAGAAGGTGTATGTGTGTAAGAGCCCTTTAGAGCTTTATAATCCCTAATACACATACCAATGATAAGACCTATTACAAAGACTTTAGGTCTCATCATTGGTATGTGTATTAGGGCCCTCCATTTCTAACCTCCTGGGGTTTTATTTATTTTTGTTAGCGTTTGATACAAGTGACTCCATTTTAATTCTGACAACTTTCATAGGTGGTATATGTGCCTTGGTTATATTTCTCTGGAGGCACTTTTCAAAGAGGGAAAACTTGAGGCTAGGAGACCATTAGAAGAAAAATGTATTAATAGATTCCTGAATTTGGATAGAAGTGGTGAGCAAAAAAAAAAAAGGGAGGGAGAGGAAGAAAGGAAAAAATAAAGGAAGAAGAAAGACAAAGAGGGAAGTAGAAAACCACAAATAATGGGCAAATGAAATCAGGATTAAATTAGTGAAGAATTAAATAAATTAAAGAAGACTCAAATATTGTAACTAGGTGTCCCACGTTCTTGGGCTCACTTGCCCCAGGAATGGGGAAAAGACCCAGGAGGTTTGGTGAGCCTACTGTTCATATAAATATCACGGACCCAAAGAGCTTAGCAGAAAGTGATTTATTAGGCAGAAAGAGAGTGAGAGGCTTCCATGGCAGGGGAATCCGAAGGGGATATCCGCACAAGTAGAGAGGGAAAGACAGCTCCCACGTTGTTGTGGGAGGGGATCCCAGACAGGGAAATCCGCACAGGTAAGGGGCTGTGGGGTTTTAACTTTGAAATTATTCCCATCCCATTCATGTCTTTGTCCAATGAGAGGAGTTATGTTAGCTGGAGTGATTGATCTTTGACTTTGATATCAGATTGGCTGTCTGGCCCACAACAGAGGCCCTTCCTACCAGAGCTTTTGGCACAATCTTTTTAAATAAAGGACCACGCCTGAAATTTTACCTACTGCACCCGGGAAATTTAGATAAAGAACTCTAGGTTCCCCAATAGGGGCATAGATGGAGGCGCTGGGGAGCTCTTGCCTTTGAAACCATGCCTCTTGTGGACCCAGGAAGACAGGTTTTTTTTGCTTAACACAGTCCCTCAATATGTCCCTAAAGTTTGACTTAAAAGCTCTAGTTTAAACTTTAAGGCTAATTTTTATGCTGTAACCATCTGTTAAATTCGTTTTGTTTTCTTTTAAACATATTTATAACTTTCAGATTATACATTCTATTTCTCTACCTGTTAAGAGGTAAATTTACTGATTTATTTATTAAAACAAATTCCTATTTGATTAGTTCCTGGCTATATATTTTGTTTCTTTGTTTTACTTTGTTTCATCTCCAAATTTTCTTTTAGATGTATTGCCATTTCATTTGACTATCCATTTCAAATTTCTTTTCAGCATTACTTAAAAAATTATTTGGGTTTATTATAGTTAGAACATTTTTGTAACCCCAATTTTTATTTTATTTTATTTTATTTTATTTTATTTTATTTTATTTTCTGCTTTAACCAGTGTCTTCTGTCAGTGGGGTCTCCAGTGGTAGGTAAGAAAGCAGGCCCCTAGCTGTAGTTCTTATCTCCTGGACCATCTGGTTGGGGTTTAGAGAATGGGCTAGGCTTCTAGCCCTCTTGCAGGGCACATTGATATGGCTCTTCGTAAACTCAAAGGTTCCTTATGGGAAAAAATGAACCTCAGGTCCCCAAAGTAAGCAGTCAACTAACTCTTTTGTCACAGGGATAGTGGGCTTCGTGTCCCTCGTTGGAAAAATTAGAGATTCTGAGCCTCTTTGGGTTGGAAAGGAGTTTAAAGAGCACATGTTTCAACCTATTGCTTTGCAAAGGAACAACTGTGGCCCAGAGAGGGTATAAAACTTGCCCAGACACACCGAATGACAAAGCCCAGAAACAACGCAGCTTAATACCAGACCTTTTATATGTTCAGTCTCTTACTGAACACATAGAGACAAGTCCATAGAGATTCACCTGTTGATGCCTCTGCACAGGATATTTAGAAGGCATTTGTATATGTGCATGTCTGTCTTGCCAAAATACACATTTCATTCTAAGACTGGAGTCTCAGGAAAAGCAAGATCATGTGAGATACTCTCTGTTCTTACTAGCTCTCAACTGTGTGGTTTCTTTTTTTTTTTTTTTTTTTTTTTCAAAAATAAAGTTTATTTCCTCTTAGATCCTTATATTCTGCAGCCTTTTTTACTCCAGAATTGCCCCCATCGTTTCCAAAATAGACGTATATTCTTTTTTGTTTTAAAAAAAGAAAGGAAAGAAAGAAAGATAAATAAAAAATAAAAAGAATAAAGGAGAGGAAGAAAGACGAAGAGGAAGAGGGAGAGAGTACAGAAGTGTTGCTTTATTGCCCAGGCTAGAATGCAGTCTAAAAATGGGTATTGAAAACCTCTTTTATGCCAATAATTGTGCTTAGTAATGGAGACAGGAAAAAATGAGGGAAGAAAATAACAAACAAACAGCCAACCAATATTTCATTTAAACCTGTAAGTAGGTGTGATGTGGTGCTGATAAGAGTGTATATTTTGTGTATTTAAAGTGGAGAGTTCTATAAATGTTTATTAAGTTTACTTGTTCCGAATCTGAGTTCAAGTCCTGGATATCCTTGTTAATTTTCTGTCTCATTGATCTGTCTAATGTTGATGTTGAAGTGTCCCACTATTATTGTGTGCGAGTCTAATTCTCTTTATAAGTCTTATGTATCCGGGTGTTCCTGTATTGGGTGCGTATATATTTAGCATCATTAGCTCTTCTTGTTGCATTGATCCTTTTACCGTTATGTAGTGTCCTTCTTTGCCTCTTTTGATCTTTGTTGCTTTAAAGTCTATTTTATCAGAGGTGACCCCAATTTTTAAATGGCAGCATCTCATATATCTCAATAGATGAAAATTACTAGCACTTTATAGTGCATTTGTTTATATTACCTAGTGACCTATTATCCCTTCTCTGAGAAGCTGTCCATCACATGATTCTCACTACAGAGACAGATAAAGCTGTAGAGACTGTAGGCACACATGTTTTCTCTCACGTGACTCACCAGTGCCCACTTCCTTCCACCATGGCTAATCACTATCTACAGCCTGACTTAAAAACCTTAATTGAGTCATACTTCTTTCACTGGTATGTGAACTAAGTGATTCCAAGATAATCAACTTGGTTACTAAAGAAAACTGGAGCTGGAAGGGACTGGAAAGGTAAGTCCCAAATCAAAATTATATGTAACTCCCAGAAAGGTAGTCATCAAAGAGAGAAAAATGGAGCTGACAACAGAGAGGAAATAGCTTGGAAAGAGAATGGGCTTGTGACATATGAGAATAAGACCTTTCATCAAGACTGACATCTTTTCAACTCATTTCTGTCTTTGAAATACTCGCTTTTTAGAAGTAAACTACATGTGTGTTTGATAAAGATCAAGCTACTTTATCTCAAGCTTTCTACAAATCTCTTCAAACTTTTCATTTATGGAAACTAAAATATGCCTAAACCCCATTCTCAGAGGCATGTCAAGGCATGAGCAGACACACTGGGATAGAAGGAAGCAAGATAACTAAGTCTGACTTTTGAAATAAGTATTCTTAAGTTATAGATAATACTTGTGTCTCCTCCCATCCTTGCAACTAAAGTTAGTTCAGAATCTCGATCTCCGTTTCTAAAGGACATGTGGTCTTTCCACCTACTGTACATTCTTGTTAACACTTGAAACAGTTTAGCCTTTTTGTTTTTCCAGCAAAATGACAAAGAAGTTTTCAAAAAAAAAAGAAAAGGAGGTATTTTGTAGACACAGCAGCAGCATTTTTGTACTTCACAATAAAATCAGGAAATACCATTAATCCTACCAGCCTGAGAAAACAAGCCAACATCTCCCAGTGGACAGTCAGCTGCTTGCAGTTGCCTTTACATCATGAATTGCCATAGGAAAGTATGAACTTCCCTCAGGGAGTTCCAAGAACATTTCTTCCAGGGCAATCTTGACTTAACTCAATCAGCAAACTGACACTGTCAATGAGGGAATAAACTATCATGAGAGGAGTCATTTTAGGATACTAATTCTGATTCCACTAATTGTAAAATATGTTCTTGTGACAGGAGATCTCTTAGTTAGAACACAAGAGAAGAAAATGAAATATCAGCAGAGCATAAATAATTCTCTCTGACATTTCTGATCTTTTAAAATGAATATACCATAAATTCACTGTTTCCAATCTCATTTGAAAATTGGTGTGGTAAAAATCTAAATAAGGAAACCACAAGGTGAACATCCAATAAATATTCAAAGTATACACATTGTAAGCACTTTGTCTTGTGACTACTGCTAATCACAACACATTTTAACTCCCATTTATATTTTCTTTGAGCAATCTTTGAGCCATATAATAAAGTTAAACTGTATTTAGCCACATCTTATTTTTAACCCCGCATGGGGTTACCTAACTTGAAAGTTGTACTAGCCTTCATCTAAAAACAACTTTTCGCATTTTCCAAAAAGAATCAGTTCTACTCTCAAAAGATGAAGATTAAGATTTTTGCTTTAAAGAGTACTATGAATTCTAAAGATATTAATTCTAAAAGAAGTTGCAAAAATATTTTGTGCAGCAAGTTTCCCTAAGTGATTACTCTAAAAGGAAGAATTCACATGGGAACATAAAAGCTAATGTAGTTATTTTTTCTTTAGAAAACTAGCCATACTGAAGAAAAACCTACTAGGAAAATAAATAGAGAAGAATTTTTAAATTGTTACTGCTATTTTTATTCCTGTTCCATTTTTTTGTTGACATAGCCCAATACCCATGCTTCTCTAAACCTCCTCCCACACACACTTGATTATATTAACAAATATTTATTCAACCCTACTCTGTGGTAGGCACAGATCCAAGCAGGTCTTGTCTACCCATTGTTCACCATCTGTACTATCTGGTCAAATTTGAATATGCTTTACTTGCTAAATTTATAGTGTAAATATAACAACATTTTTCATTTACTGAACATCATATGTGTCCACCATAGTTTACTTCCGAATGTGTAGAAATGTGTTCATGCATTCCTTCCTAAAGTCCCTATAATCAAGTAAGAAAAATATATTATGTCCAAAAATGCCTATAGTATAAAGTACAAAAATAAAACCGTTATAGAAGGGATAAGAAGAAAGGAAAGGAAGGATAAAAATTAGTTTCACTTTGTTGAACGGGGTTTCCGGGCTGCACTGCACTATGGAGCAGGTCAATGAGCTGGAAGAGAAGGACAACAACGCCCTGAGTGCAGGCAACATTGATGCTGCCTTACAGTGCTACTCCGAAGCCATTAAGCTGGATCCCCACAACCACTGCCTCTACAGCAACCGCTCTGCTGCCTATGCCAAGAAAGGAGACTACCACAAGGCTTACGAGGACGGCTGCAAGACTGTCGGCCTAAAACCTGACTGGGGCAAGGGCTATTCACAAAAAGGAGCAGCTCTTGAGTTCTTAAACCGATTTGAAGAAGCCAAGCGAACCTACGAGGAGGGCTTAAACCACGAGGCAAATAACCGTCAGCTGAAAGAGGGTTTACAGAATATGGAGGCCAGGTTGGCAGAGAGAAAATCCATGAACCCTTTCAACATGCTCAATCTGTATCAGAAGCTG